GAAAGATTTGTACACTGAAAATTACACAACAGGGCAGGCCAAGTGGCTCAGTTGGTTAAGAGCTTGCTCAAGAGTGTGAGCTCTGAGCAACAGGGTCGCCGGTTCAATTCCCAACCCAAGCTGAGCTGCCGCTGAGCTGCCAACAGGTGGCAGGGTGGCTCAGCTAAAAAAACAAATTACACAACATAATTAAAAGAAATTAGGAAGACCTAAAAAAACAGAAAGACATCCCATATTCATGGATCGAAAGACAACATTAAAATGACAATACTCCCCAAATTGATATACAGATTCAATGCAATCCCTATCAAAATCCTAGCTGGCTTTTTTAAAGAAACTGACAAGCTGACTCTAAAACTCATATGGGAATGCAAAAGGCCCAGAACATCCAAAGCAATCTTAAAAAAGAACAAAGTTTGGGTACTCACACCTCCTGATGTTAAAACTTACTACAAAGCTACAGTTTTGATACTGGCATAAGGACAGACGTGTAGAACAATGGAATAGAATTAAGACTCCAGAAATGAGTCCAAATATTTAAGGTCAACTAATTTTTTCTAAGAGTGCTATGACAATTCAGTGGGGAAAGAATAGTCTTTTCAACAAATGGGTTGGGAAAACTGGGTATCTACCTGCAAAAGAATGAAATCGGACCCCTACTTCATACCATTTACAAAAATTATCTCACAAACAAGTGTTGCCAAGGATGTGGAGAAAAGGGAGCCCTTGTGCACTGTTGGTGGGATTGTAAATTGGTGCAGATACTATGGAAAACAGTATGGAGGTTCCTCAAAAAATTAAAAATATAACTACCATATTACCCAGCAATCCCATTTCTGGGTTTTTATCTGAAGAAATCCAAAACACTAATTTGAAAAGATATATGCATCCCTATGTTCACTGCAGTGCTATTTACAACAGCCAAGATATAGAAGCAACCTAAGTGTCCATTGATAGGTGACTGGATAAAGAAGATGTGGTACATATATACAATGGACTATTACTTGACCATAAAAAAAGAATGAACTCTTACCATTTGTGACATGGATGGACCTAGAGGGTCCATCCATGTCACTTAGCATAATAATGCTAAGTGAAGTAAGTCAGACAAAGAAAGACAAATACCATGTGATTTCACTAATATGTGAAATCTAAAAACCTAAATAAATGAACAAACAGAAACGAACTCGTAGAAACAGAGAACAAACTGATGGTTGCCAGATGGAAGGGGGGTTGGGGGGCTGGGTGAAAAAGGTGAAGAGATTAAGAAGTACAAATTGGTAGTTACAAAATAGTCACTGGGATGTAAAGTACAGTATGGGGAATATAGTCAATAATATTATAATAACTATGTATGGTGTCAGGTGGGTACTAGACTTATGGGGGGATCACTTCATAAGTTATATAAATGTCTAACCACTATGTTGTATACCTGAAACTAATATTGAATGTCAACTGTAATTGAAAAAAAAATTTATCTCAAAATGGATCAAAGACCTAAATATAAAAGCTAAAACTATAAAAATCTTAGAAGATAACATAGGTATAAATCTTTGTGATCTTGGATTAGGCAGTGGTTTTTTAGATATGACATCAATAGTACAAGCAAGAAAAGATATATTGGACCTTACCAAAATTAGAAACATCTGTGCTTCAAAAGACACTACCAGAAAGTGAAAAGACAACTCACAGAATGGGAGAAAATAAATGCAAATCATATATCTGTTAAGAGTCCAGTATCTGTATCTAAAATATATAAAATACTCTTACAACTCAATAATATAAAGACAAATAACCCAATTATAAAATGGGCAAAGAAATTGAATAGACATTTCTCCAAAGAAGATGTATAAATGGCCATAACACATGAAGTGATGTTCAACATTATTAGTCATGAGGGAAACATAAATTAAAACCACTAAGATACAACTTCACCTCCACTAGGATGGCTAAAATCGAAAAGATGGACAATAAAAGTGTTGGTGTGAGGGAGTGGTGAAATTGGGACCTTCATACATTGCCGGTGGGAATGTAAAATGATGCAGCTCTTTGAAAAACAGTTTGGCAGTTTCTCAAAAAGTTAAACATAGACTTACGATATGACTCAGCAATTACATTCCTCAGTGTATATCATGAGAATTGAAAACAATGTCTACATAAAAACTTGGACATGGATATGCAAAGCAACATTTTTCATAATAGCCTAAAAGTGAGAAAACCCCAATGTCCATGAACTGATAAGTGGATAAACAAAAACTGGTATATCCATTCAATAGAATATTATTTCACCATGAGAGGAATAAACTGATACATGCTACAACATGAATGAATGTTGAAAACAGTATGCTAAATGAAAGAAGCCAGACACAAAAAGCAACATATTACATGATTCCATTTATACAAAATATCTATACTAGACAAATCCACAGAGATAAAAAGTAAATTGGTGGGGGCTAAATACAGAGTGACTGCTAGTGAGTGTGGGGTTTCTTTTGAGGACAATAAAATGTTCTAGAGTTAGATATTAGTGATAGTTTCATAACTTTGTGAATATACTAAAAATCAATGAATTGCACTTTTTTTTTAAGATTTTATTGGGGAATTGGGGGAGGGGAACAGACAAGTTGCTGTCCTTTTGTTCTTCATTCTAGTTGCGGAGGATGTCGCTTCACTGGCCCATGNATGAGAAACTTTTTAATAGTCTTTACAGTTGATCTTACCCAAAATCTTCCCAAGGCTGTCTCCTCATAGTTCAACTCCTGGTTTAAACATTACGTCTTCAAAGAGGACTTCTATCAACACGTTTTTAAGTCGCCAGTTCCTGCAGCTGAATCCCTTCCTCCCACCTACTCCCTTATATACAGTCACACACACAGCAGAGATTATGGTCACAGTGACGTTACTCTACGTGCAAATGAGAAAATGGGACAACTCGACTGTTTATAGCCCTGAATCCCCGTGTACCTGCCTCGGCTTTTTCCTCAACCTTTTTCTTTTTAACAGCTTTACTGAGGTATAATTTTGTCTCGTTTTTTAAAGTGCGCTCCTTTGAGATATCACTCCCTAGAATATTTACTTCACCGTATGGATCTCCATTATTACAGGCACCTGTAAGGATTCCCTTTCTTTTTTTTTTTTTTTAGATTTTATTGGGGAATTGGGGGAGGGGAACAGACAAGTTGCTGTCCTTTTGTTCTTCATTCTAGTTGCGGAGGATGTCGCTTCACTGGCCCATGTTGGTATTATCATCGCGCTCTTCCGGGGTGAGGCAGATCGGTTGCTGGTCACTTGATGGCCAATCACACTGGCTGCCGGCCGCTCATGCCAGCTGCCAGCCACTCACAGTAGCTTATGGCAGCCCATTGAAGCTCCATCCTGCAGCCTACACCATCGCTGGCAACTTATAGCAGCCCAGTTCCAGGTCGAGCTGTTGTTCACCATCTTAGCTGTAGAGGGCGCAGCATCACTGGCCCTAATGTGGGATCCGAACTGGGGCCCTGCTCCTCAGGGCTGGCGTCCCAAGCCAACTCTTAACCAATGCGCCACTCGGCTGGTCCTGCACACTTTTTAAAAAGGTGAATTTTACGTTATGTGAATAATATCTCAATTTAAAAAATACAGCTGGAACATTGGAGGTACCTTTTACTAAGGTAGGGAAGACTAGGGAGCTGCCACATGTGGAAAGAGAAGGAAGAATTTGTTTGCACATGGTAAGTTTGAAATACTGATTAGACATCCAAGTGGATTTGTTAAGTAGGCAATTGGAGATATTAGTCTGCTGCAGTTCAGGGGAAAGATACTGGTTGGAGATATACATTTGGAAAAAATTAATTAATACATATAAAACACTTAGAATGCTGCCTGGAAAATAGTAAGATCTATAAATGTTAGATATTATATTTATTTTGTATATATAAATAGCCAATTATTCCAGCACAATTTGTAGAACCCCTTTCTGATCTGTAATGCCACCTCTGTTATATGCAAATCTCCCATTTAGATTGAGAGTCTATTCCTATAATTGTATTTTTTAAAGTAGGAATTGTTTTAAGGGAGAGTACATTGGAAGCCAAAACACCTCGCAACTGTTCTTAATTCACTTCACAAGAACATAAATGATTCTATGCTTCTGTGTCACGGTTGCTACCTAGGGGGAAATCACCTGGATTCTTTCAGCCTTTCAGAGGGTGCTAGAAGGATAGATGAGATCCTAGGCAGGAAGTTCGAAAGCTAAGTAATACAAAGCTGCAGAAGGAAGTTAGGTACCTGAGGAAAAAGAGGTTCCATAGGAAATACTTTGAGCCAACTCTCCTTTTTTTTTTTTTTTTTTTT